CGTTGACATTTTCCGTGGCATGGCGTGGTGATATGTGTGAATGGATGAGAAATTGAATTATGTGGTCAGATCGATTCTATTCATGAGTGGTTTTTCATTGTAATGCTTTAAATACTTATGCACGATTAAGAGTTCGTGATCATAATTGTTAAAGTAGGATTAGTCGAAGTAATTAAGTGACATAAGTCATTAATGTAGGATATTAGTACTGACTAAGAATTACATGTTATTGAGATTGACTTGGTGTGTTTAGGAAAGTGATACGTTCCATACAAACAAGTTGGTTCCTGCACCAGATTAAAGTATACGCATGGAAGAGTGGGAGTGGAAACAAAGCCCAGCCATGCAACCAAGCCATGCATTTGTTGTTATCATTTGAAGTGAACACGTAGGGTAGTGACTTAGTCTATTTTAGTCATTTTGTTTGTTTCATTTAATAAGTCATGCAGAGCTTATCTTTAGTTTTAATGGGATAGTGCTGTTTCCTAATTATTAGTGGGTTGTTTGTTTGAGTCGGGTGAGTGCTTCGAAGGGGTCCTCATAATCCGTTGGTCCAAAGCGGAGTAACAATGCCCTGGTATAATCTGTCCAGGTCACTGGTCCCTTAAATTTGGAGTACCATCGATGCCATTGGAGAGCAATTCCCTCTAGATGAAAGGAGGCAAGTGAGACCTGTTGATCGGGAGCGATTTCATTGAAATCGAAGTACCGTTCAGCTTTGTAGACCCATGCGGTTGGGTCTTCTCCATCAAAATTTGGGAAGGTGAGTTTGAGATGATGATTGTTATGGTGTGTGGATGGTTGAGAGTGACTGGCTAAAGGTCGATTAAATTGATGGGATGATTCGGTTGGGGTGAATGGGTTTGTGTCCGGGTTATTGGCGTGAGGAATTTGTGATGCTCGTAGGGATTGTAGTTCCTGCAAAACCGTTTGTAACGTAGAGTGAATTTCATCAATACTGGATTCATGGCGTCCCAATATTTCATGAACTTCATTTCGGAACTCAGCATTGGACTGATTTCGAGTAGCCATAGCTAACCAAAACTGGCTTTGATACCAAATGATACGTTAAAGGTTGACAGACAAAGAAGAAGAGAATGTTAAGAGGGAGAATATGAACTTTAAACTTGATGCTTTATTGATAATAACTCCTGACTATTTATAATAGTCTTACAGTTGTTGGGGAAGAATAAACTATGCTAAAAATTAGGAAAAAAACAAACAACCTACTAATAATTAGGAAACATCACTATCCTATTAAAGTTAAAGATAAGCTTTGCATGACTTATTAAATGGAACAAACAAACTGACAAACAAACAAATTGACTAAAATAGACTAAGTCACCACCCCACGTGTTCACTTCAAATGATAACAACAAATGCATGGCTGGGCTTTGTTTGACAGACAAAGAAGAAAAAAAGGTTAAGAGGGAGAATATGAACTTTAAACTTGATGTTTTATTGATAATAACTCCTGACTATTTATAATAGTCTTACAGTTGTTGGGGAACAATAAACTATGCTAAGAATTAGGAAAAAACAAACAATCCACTAATAATTAGGAAATAACACAAAACTTTGAGGGGTTGCTCAATTGACCAGGCCTTGGGTTTGCTCCTCAATGGTCATCAGTTCGAATCCTCTCAAGGCCATTGATGTGAGTATCCTGTCGTAAACTTCAGGGCCTCGTGGAATTAGTCGAGGTGCGCGTAAGCTGGCCCGAACATCCACGGTTATAAAAAATAAAAATAAAAATAAAAATTAGGAAACAACACTATCCCATTAAAGCTAAAGATAAGCTCTGCATGACTTATTAAATGGAACAAACTGTCAAACAAACTCAGATTAAAGTATATGCATGGAAGAGTGGGAGTGGAAACAAAGCCCAACCATGCAACCAAGCCATGCATTTGTTGTTATCATTTAAAGTGAACACGTGGGGTAGTGACTTAGTCTATTTAGTCAATTTGTTTATCAGTTTGTTTGTTCCATTTAATAAGCCATGCAGAGCTTATTTTTAGTTTTAATGGGATAGTGTTGTTTCCTAATTATTAGCGGGTTGTTTGTTTTTTCCTAATTCTTAGCATAGTTTATTCTTCTCCAACAACTGTAAGACTATTTTAAATAGTTAGAAATTATTATCAATAAAGTATCAAGTTTAAAGTTCATATTCCCCCTCTTAACTCTCTCTTCTTCTTTGTCTGTCAAACTTTAACGTATCAGAAAGCCACCACATGACATGATGATTCAACTGCAGTTTGCAAATAAGAATTATTCTTGACAATTTTGGGAATAATGTTTATGGATTTTGTCCTCATGCTAAATGTGATTTTTTGTCAGAAAGATAGATTTGTACCCTGTACAAGAAAAAATGGAAACTCATAGTCTTTGGTGCACAATGGGATAATGTGACATGTTAATACTGACACAATCATATATTTTCAAGGCTAATTCATACTTGTGACATTTTGCAGTCCCAGCTTCTGCTGAAATCTTTTTATTTTCTACTTGCCTCTGGGATACTATAGTCATTTTCACTTACAATGTTTATGCACCATTGGTTTAGTATTTATTTGTTATTTAGAACATATCGAAGAGATTCTTAAAATGTTAGATGCTTTTTATTTCAAAGAGTCAATACTTAAAAATGGGTTCCTACTAGCTTTTCAGTATAAATTATCAAAATGGAGGGTGGATTTGTCTCTCTACATTTTGAGAGCCAACTGCGCTCTCTATTTGTATTTTACAATGACTTCATCTAATAAATTGCAAGTTTCAAT